AAAATTTCAATTCACATCTTCTATCACCGAGTAGTTGTTTCAAGATCAAAGGTGATATTTGGGTCATACATAAATATATGTCTGTTTTATATATATTTATATATACATATAGATATATATAAGACAGATTTCAGTAATGACGCCGAACCTGAATTTAAAGTTTTTGCTTATCTGTTGATAATTATGCCTAACCAAAACTGTTTCTGATATAGATTTCTTTACCCATCTATTACACCAAAGTTTTTAGAAATTTCATCTTTTCCAAAAAAGGTCATCATAACGATGTTCTCTGTCCATGTTTTAGTCATTTGTGTAGATAGTATGGTTTCTCCTTATCACAACCTTGGACAATGCAAGAGACCAACAAGCAACCATTTCTAAGGAACTCTCCTCATTCTCATTATTAGCAGTCACATTTGCTTACATTTTTATTTAACTGTAAAAAAAAAAAAGAAGACATTGTGCAATGTTTTAAGCAATTTTATTATAATTCTTGATGTTTTGAAAATGACGCATGCTATGTTCAATTTCTTTCTTGCCATGAATTCATGGGTGCATTCAATAGTGTCATATTAGTATTTTGCTAAATTTTAATATATTTTAAAAGTAATAATAAATCTGTTACTGCAACATGTAGAATCAAGTGTATCTCAGGCTATGACTGTCTTTCATTCTCATTCAGAAGCTTTGGTCAGTGCTTAGTCACAGCAACCCACCTTGGCTCATAGTGTAGCTTCCATCCCTCATCCAATATAGAATAGTCCATTGTTTTCCATTCAGAGCACACTTTACTGTAGGAGGCTTTAATATGTACACAAGAATCAAAGTCATGGTCATCATTGTAATCAATTAAGATACTGTGGCATCAAATGCATATCGTTTAATAGACACTGTATATTTTACTTTCTACAGGTTTTCTCCCAATGTGGAAGGAGAAAAATGTATACTAAAACTTAGTTTACTAGTGAGGGAGGAAGGAATAATAATTTATGGTTGTTTCTTTTAATGTTTTACCGCACTTGTTATAAAATATTATTCGTGGCTGATTGAGTCGGCAATAGTTTCAAAGAGATGAGGTATCAGCTTGTAAGTCATTTCAAACTTTTCTATTAAACGAGTCCAGTCAGTGAAAACAATTATCTGCTGTGAAAACTGTTTACTAATGAGAGACGAATTTTCAGGAAAAACCATTTTGAAGCAGTGATAATTTCACTGGGGTTATTTTGCGTAGAAAGACATGGTGGCGGTCAAGAACTTGCATACATTATGGAAAGTGTGAAAATTATCTGCTCTGTCGTGGTTGTGCAGTACATAGTTCCTATCTGCCTTTTACTCCAAATATCATAAATTTATGTTAATTTAATTCCTCTCACCATTGTACAGTGATTGGCTTATGTTATTCTCTGTGGCCAGAGAGAGTGAAAACACCATGACATGTGATGTATGCTTTGTAAAATCAATGTGCAACGTTTCGTGCAGAAAGGTTGCAGTATATCTCGGCAGTTTGTTAATTTGAACAAACAAACAAATTTGTACTTCCGTGCATTTTTTGTGGATAGTATCAGTAACAGCTCAGTGGCTCATGTCTGTTTTTTGTTTTTGTTTTTTTTACACGTCTTGTGAAGTTTGGGCAATTAGCCTTTGTATATTATTTGGTGTACAAAATGCATGAATCTGCGCCTCTTTCCATGGTTACCATTTGTGTTGGTCTGTATCACCTTGGTTGCCATCTGTGTTGGTCTGTATCACCTTGGTTACCATTTGTTTTGATCTGTGTCTGACACTTTAATCATGTCTACCTAGCATCTGAGATTGGGAACAAGATGTATGTATCAGATGGGTTAATTTGTGTATAGTCTCTTTCCTCTCCTCCTGCATGAGTTGTTTATTTCAGAGAGCATCACGTAAATTGCCAACTCTTATTGACTGAACAATAACCAATAATTCCATTGTATTTTCAAGCATACCTTCATTGTTGTAAATGTAATTTTAATATTTTATGATGTAAATATGAATCTTTTAGTTTCCATCTTCCAGCATCCAGTTTCTTGTTTCTCAAAACTGAAAGTTGTTGATTCTTATAAGTGTTGGAACAAAGATAACAATCGTTGTAGTTGGCAAAAAATTTTTTTCTGTCATGTTTTTTCAAAATATTTTTTTGTTTTAGAGATTTATTATTTATTATTTTTTATTGAAACCAGTCAATGATTGAAGTATTATTTTTCACTCCCTGTGATGGTATATGCATCTCAAAATGCCATTTCCTGTGTTTCAATAGATAAAATTAAACTCAAGAGGGCGCCCTTCTGGAAACTCCCAGTTTACTTTCATGTATACATATCAGGCCGAAACACTCAATGCAATTAAGCTATTTTTTTTTAAAGTTATATTACAAATGTACTTATCTGTTTTATTATCATAGGAGGGGGTCCCAATTTCTATGAAACGCTTGATGTGATTGGCTGTCACCCACATTTATATGTGTAATAAACCAATAGACAATTATGAATCATTTTCCAGATGAGCCCTAATCAATAGCTGGGCTTCCACTAAGGGTGTTTAGACACTATGGCTCATGCTAAATTATTGTTACTTGTCAACTCATTAAGCAACCTTGGAAAAGAAAAAGAGAAAATAACATGTAGCAAATATATAATATATACTTTTTTTTAATGGTGATAACATGTTATCATTTGATAGTTTGTAATTTGGCTTTGCCGTGGGTGGTGAAACTAAAATAATATGGAGCAGCTAAATCTGACAGTAATTCACCAATGTTGTTAACAGAAGCCTAAAATACTATTTAAAATTTTTATCCAGTCTAACAGTTGCAGATCTAGTTTTTTATAATCTGCCATTTTTTTTTTTCAATAAAAGAAAGTGCAAGATTAATTTTCTCTGTTTGTATCAAATTCTACCAAACTACCAGCCCCCTGCAACATATTTTATTCAAATATTTATTTTGTACAGTTTACTGATTAGAGACGAAGCTCTCAGGTTAATTCAATGCAGTAATTGATTTAAATTCCTTGATTTAATTTGGATCAGTCAGCATCAGTGCGTTGTCCAATTCTCATTTCAGTGTTAAGCTTAACGAGAAACATTTTAAATTAAAATATGAATGAGACACAAGTCACCTACTCTGTAGCTATTCAGCACAATTTCCCAGACTGACTCTGCCACATTTTTAAACAAGTTTTTAATTTTTTTTTTAAAATTTTATTTACAAAGAAATACTGTGATTCAAATTTGTGACACGAGTCAGATATTTCTTGCATTGTCCTTCAACAATAAGATGATTTTTTTTTTTCCAAATGGCTTTTGACACTAGGTATTGTGCATGTGGTTTTAGAATTGTCCAATTAAAAAAAAAAAGGCTCACTGATGTAGCAGCTTTCAAGGGGAATTCTGTTTTAGGTTATTTCCTCTTTGTTCTCAGTAGTTTCCACATTTGTTTTTCAAAATTCAGTTTCCAAATATCATTGCTTTCATTTCTTGAGATGATCTTGTAATATACATTTACTTATTACAAATTATGCTTTTAAATTATTGATAAATATTATAATTCTAGTATGTAATAGCACCCTATGAAGTAATTCTCTGTACAAATAAACTATAATGTAAAGAGTATATGCTTGTCTGTGTTTTATTCAGCCTGTTGCCACTTACCAGTATGTTCTGTCCTGGTATGTTTATATTGTCACTAGCCATTCTAATGCTCCAAGAACCACACCCGAGGGTCTGGTGTAGTGCAATGTTCCCCAGCACCACATTTTAGCCATTTCATTAGACCTCCTGGTGTGGTGCAATGTTTCCCCAGCACCACATTTTAGCCATTTCATTAGACCTCCTGGTGTGGTGCAATAGTTCCCCAGCACCACATTTTAGCCATTTCATTAGACCTCCTGGTGTGGTGCAATGTTCCCCAGCACCACATTTTAGCCAGTTTATTTGACCCAAGACCACTTTTCAGCCAGTATATTTGACCCTCTTTGTGTGGTGCTATCTTCTCTTCTTTCACCACACCCGACCCAGTGCAATGCCCCTTACCCAAGACCACATTTTCGCCAGTATATTTGACTATTGCATGGCGCTATCTTCTCCCCAAGACCACATCTAAGCCAATATGTTTGACCCCTGGTTTGGTACAATACTCCATGTCAAGCATCCATCAACAATTATATTTTTGACTTAAAAACTACCAGTTCAATTGTTTTGATGCTTGGCATGTAAAGTGGACCTTTTCACGATTCTTTTCAGTTTTGATTTCCTCTCACAAACAACCAGTTCAAAAATTTGATACTCTGTATGTGGGAACCATGGGTGAATCAAATTACAAAATGTGTTGTTCATACAAGGAATGAAATCGCCCAAGGTTGCCCGAGAAACGTGCCGGACAAAAGCTGCCACCAGTCAAAGGTAACCAATCACAAAATGATCGTATACCGGTACATCAGTAATCTATCAAGTCTGATGTTTAGAGTTAAACGACGTGTTACCATATTTCTTTTTTCAAGAAGGTAATAATCAGCTTGTTATATATCTTGCTTTTATACCGAATTTACATCATGTCCAAGAAATCATGATGGACAGGCAAAACACAAGTCCTAGTCTCAGACTTTGGGACTAATTACCGGTATGTGAAAAATGTACTGGGGAATATAGACAATAAATATGAAACACATTACACATGTACTTTTTATTGCTAGATGCCATTTCATGAATTGCAAACAGTAAATAAACACACAAAGATCCCAAATGTGTATACATATATAGTTGTTGAGATTGTCGGTCGAGTCGAGGCAAATATACAAGGTAGAATTTTATACGTCAAAATAAACCTGTCAATAAACAAGCTGCTTTCTGATTGGCCTGACTGTTAGGGATGGTCCACCAATTAGGAACAATCTTGTAAATCGATCTGGTTGAGCTACTCGTTCATTTTGCTTAGATTAGTTAATTTGTGTGCAAATTGTGATTTCTGTAATTCTGGGTAATCAAACATCTTGCCTACCACATGCAAACTTTAGTTTCGTCAAATTTTATTTTTCTAACCTTAAAATGTAAAAAATAAAAATATAACACCTTTAGTATTTTTGGCAAAATAGGACATTTTTGATTGTAAGATGCACTTTCACGATGTGATCAAGTCTTATTCGCCATCTAAATCAACTATCCTAACATCAACACAGGGGGCATAACAACCTCAACCTGACTTACAATGTTCTGGTGTCTCATCCAATTCAGTCTGTGAAATTAAAAGTATATTTTTAACAGAAAATATTAAAGCAAGAGGTAGTCTCCTGCACAGAGTGGGGAATTGAGTCTGTTGATAACATACATATGATAGATATACAGATGTAGAACAAGCAAAATTTGTCACCAAATGTTATACATGTATATAGGCCAAAACTAACCCATTATTTCAATTTTAATACATGCGATTTTGTTGTTTATGTGTTATCTTTTTGGCCATAGTAACACCTTCATAATTTGTGTAAGCACATGTGTTACAAATACATGTACAGTCAAACCTGTCTAAAGTGGCCCATCCAGGGACTATGAGATTTTGGCCTTTCTAGACAGGTGGCCATTATAGACAGGTTCACTAATTTCTTCATGAATATCAATTAGGCATTGAATACAAAAACTATTCCAGAAGGAAATTGGAACACGATAAAAGAAAACTTTTTGTGATAAGCTCTTATTTTCTAGAGATCCAGTCCAATGAGGCTGCCATGTTGCCTAATCTACTGATGCATGTATAAGCAATCAATCGGCTCTAATTTTAAAGTTGTACTCAATTATCTCGATAATATGCCCGAAGTTTGAAGTTCAGGAAAAGTGATACTTCAGTGAATACAAGATGGCAAAGTCTTTGGGTATACCATCTGAGAGAATGTACATAAATTGAATAATATTCCAACAAGTTTTACTGTACAAATAAAATCAAGTGAGAAGAGAATTGGTGCATGTTCTACGAACGAAAAACAACTCAAGACCAATTTATTCAGGAAGAATTCCAGTAAAAATACTCTACAACTTTTAGTACTCTGAGTCAACTAAAAAAAAATTCTATGTCTAACTCAACTAAAACTACCGCATGCAAAGTGGCTGGGATGGGGTTGCTATCTGTGCATGGCGAGTCCTCGTGAGAAAACACATTGAACATAAATCTTCTGTATTCGAGATAGAACACCAACATGTCTAATTGGGGTTAACTTGATATGACGACGCTACTACAGTGGAAATAGCTGATTACGACTCAAATAGAGAGTTGGTTACTACAGTAGCCAAACCCGGGATGCATAACATAAAATTATTTTAATTTGCTTCCATGTATGTATATATATATATATTAAATCACAAATTGAAAACAAGTTTTAGCTTCTATGAAGTCTTTCACCAAACATTTCTCACAAACTAACCACATATAAACAAAATTCCACCAATTGACAATTCCTTAATTTGAATATTTAAATAGATTCATTACATATTTTCAATAATATTTTTTTTTTATTTTTACTAAAACTACTATATTTTATAATCAGTTAATGTCAACTACAGGATGGCAGTTAAGTTTAATGCCATGATTTTGGAATCAAGAATTTATTTTTCTTCCTCTGGCCTAACACCTGATTGTTTCAAATGCAGTAGAATGGACCTCATTCTTGAGATATCTTTTGTGTTTCTGCTATTTTTAGGGTTGAAATCACAGACCCGTGCAACACGCTCCCATTCAAGACCAGGTATGTCTTCATCACGCTCTTCAATAAATGCTTCTTGTGTTGCCCTAAAGATAGAAAAAGGTGTGTTGTTTGTATGCAATTCAACTTGGAAGTGTCTGTGCATTGTGTCACAAATTGGGATGAAAAATATAAATTGGAGATACACTGATTTATATTATTTGTACGACTTATAAAGACCACAACTTATCAACAGACATCATACCCCAATATCTTATAAGCTTCATTATGCAAAAGTATACTTAACCCCAGAATCAAAAAACACATAAATTTTGCCTGGGATGCACTTCTCTATTTGATATTAAGTATTGTAAGACCAGGTTTTTACTTTTAATTTATTACCTATTTGTGGCTGCCGCTTTCTGCAACTGTTCATCTCTATTTCGATACCAATCTTCTAATTCTTTTTTGGCTGCTTCCCTCCATTCCTCACCTTTCTTTTCTGATTCAGCATCTGTTAGGGGAAAAAAAAAGAGAGCTTTACTGAAAATAGCTGGACTTTCTGCAACGAGGGATGCAATTCAACGCTGAAAACGCTTGGTTGATATCATGTTAGCTCTGATGCATGTACCCGATACCTCAGCCAGTGAACCCGCAGTAGAGAACCACGACCAAGCCCTGGGCTTCAGCTTCTAAAACCTATTGTAGAGAACTCAGGAGGCCTTGTAGAAAACACTGCAAGACCTAGTAGGCTTCAAGTGGTAAAACTACTGTAGAGAA